CTACAATGATCAATTCTCAGTGGGTTTAAGAAAATGCAATGGGCGCCACGCGAAATATATAATGAATATATGAAAATTATAAATAAAGCAACAAAATGTAAAACAAGAAACTTTCATTCTTAACGAGATACGAAAAGAAATGTATGTGGTACAAAATAAATATAATATTGTAATTATCACTAAAGGTTTTATATAAAGAAATAATTGTTGGTTGAAGGCATATCTTATATTCGTGATGTGTGCTTGCCAGAAGATCTAGAGATTCTAGATTGCCTGGGAATAGGGGCAGCCTATTGTGCTAGTTCATTTACATTACCCAGGGTGCACGTGTAGTAGTCTACTACGGACGCAAACTAATTTTACACTCGAAACAATACTAACGAATGACCGTGCCATTATGGGAGAATACTTTCGTAAATAGAGGCTACGGCCCAATGCAATAAAAAAAGTAGTTTCCATCTGAATAATGCTCAAGTCAATATAAAACTCTCCGTTCACTTTGAAAACAGACTGCTCACTGATAACTCAACACCAAAATATCTTGGAGTGACTCTGGACAGTGACAGTTACTCTCTTCAGTTGTAAAGAACACCTACAAAAAATAGCAGCAAAACTGAAACTGCAAAATAATATAGCCCAAAAGCTATGTGGTGCCACGTGGGGGTCCTCAGCTTCCGTACTCAGATCATCCGCTCTCGAACTTGTTTACTCGGCGGCTGAATATGCTTCCCCGTTATGGCTCAATAGCAAACACACGAAGATTATTGAGACCCAATTAAACCAGACAATGTGAATAATCTCAGATACAATTAGACCCACACCGAACTATTGACTTCCCATTTTGAGTCACATTCCACCGCCGAAACTGCGAAGAAGTCATTCGCTTCTAGAGATAATCCAAAAATCGAGGCTAACCATCAACTACCCATCCACCATGATAAGCTTAATATCGAAATAAACAGACTGCGATCCAGATATCCTACATTGTTTAGATCCAACTCCTTAAATTAGGAACATTTCAACCTCACCAACGCTTGGAGAAGACAATTGGAGAGCGACTCACCACAGGAAGCAGATCAAATGGCCTGTATCGATCAGAAACCTCCAGGCTTTGAACTGACCCGCAATACATAGACAACGCCTAAACAGACTAAGATCAAGCAGCGGTAGATGTGCTGACAGCTTATATAGATGGGGAAAAGCCTTACTCCTCAGTGTGACTGTGGTGCGCAACGACAGACCGTCCGTCACATTGTGGAAGAATGTCTCCGAACACAATTCCCTGGAGTGTTCGATGAGTTCCTGAATGCGACCGAAAATGTTTTACAATATATTAATAATACATTAAATGTTCGTTTGTAATACTCCAAGTAACGTTTTATATTGATTTTTAATTGTGTTCTTATTGTATGCCATACGATAAATAAAAATAAAAAAAACAATATAGTAAAACCTTGAAGAGGTTAAATAAAAATTAGGTCCCTAGAGACCTCGTAAAATTAAATTGTCTTTCAGAAGACAAAAACACAATTATGAATTTATTCCACTAAACACTTAATCTCTGGATCAATATAAAAAGTCACTAACCTGGAGTTCCACGTAACCCTCAAACTCTTGGTCAATACAAAAGTCAATAACCTGGAAATCCACCTTCTTTATATTTTAAAAAGCTTACGGCTATATTCACTATTCAATACCATATATAGAACAGGTATAATACCTAAAGAATGGCTCCAATCAACATTCATACTGCTTCCCAAAAGAGTCAATGCAAAGGAGTGCAATGAACATCGCACCATAGCCTTAATGAGTCATGTCTTGAAATTGTTTTTAAAAGTAAAAACAGAATACATAAGAAATTAGATGAAGGTATAAGTAATACACAAATGGGATTTAGGAAAGGAGTGGGAACACGAGATGCACTGTAGTAAGTGTTCTTTCGCAGAAATGCTTAGATATAAATCAGGAAGTGTATGCCTGTTTCATTGATTATAAGAAGGCATTTGACAGAGTGCAGCATAATGGGCTTAAAGAAATTTTGTTAAATAAAAACATAGACAGTCAAGACATTAGAATCATATGTAACCTCTATTGGAACCAAACAGCAAAAATGAAAGTTGAAAATGAACTGACCGAGGAATCCAGATTCGCCGTGGGGTTCGCCAAGGGTGTATTTTATCACCCTTGTTATTCAATTTATACAGTGAAGGCATCTCGCTTGCCGAGGTCATTGAGGGTCTTATAATAAACGGTGAGCTACTTAATAACATAAGATATGCTGACGACATCGTCCTTCTCGTAGAAACAATAAAAGAACTGCAACACCTTGCTGAACAACTAAATATATATTGCAACGATTATGGACTAAAAATAAATTTGAAGAAAACCAAGTTCATGGTATTTACAAAAGCACAAAACATCAAAGTTAAGCTAGTACTAGATAATACAGAAATTGAACAAATATCTTCGTACAAATACCTTGAAGCATGGATCATAGAAGATACTGATCAAACAGAAGAAATAAGATGCCGCATTGAAATTGCACGGTCAACTTTTAATAGAATGAGAAAACTTTTTTGTAATCGCGATATCGATATATCGCTCCGGAGAAGAAGGCTTCGATGTTATATTTTCTCTTAATACACTTAATAAGGACACTTAATAAATCCACAAGTTCTCGAAAAACTAGGAAAACAATACGAAGTTTTAAATTCCATAAAAGTCAGGAAATTGGAACACTTGGGGCACATCATGAGAGGTGACAAATACGAACTACTAAGGAATATAATGCAGGGTAAAATCAAAGGCAGAAGAAGCGTAGGAAGACGTAAAATCTCGTGCCTACGCAATCTCCGTGAATGGTTTGGATGCAGTTCAATTGAACTATTCAGGCGCGTAACCAACAAAATTCTAATTGCCAGAATGATTTACAATCTCCGATAGGAGCGGAACCTGAAGAAGAAGAAGATATCCTTCTGAAGATCCCTGTGGAAGAGGGGCCATCATTATCTGTAGTCCTTAAACGACTACAGCTAATTAAGACTGTAACTAATATTCCATACCTACTATAATCATATTTTAATTGCAAAACTTAATCACTTACTATGATCCATAAAATAATTCTCAAATAATCCATTAATATAATCTCAAAAAATATGGTCGATCGGTCAGTGCTAGACAAATGCTCACTTCAAAATTAATTTCTTATTCGAAAACTTGACTACAGCGACCTTTACCCGTCACCCAACAAAGAGCGGAAAATTCTTTGGTTAGTGAAACTTAAGATAGGCCTTATGTCTATGCAACTCATTAGTGCAAAGTGATCCAATCTTTCACAGTTTCGATAAGATTCCTCGGAGATCAAATAATGCCGCAAAATACGTACGAAGAGTTTGCAGGGTTCTTTATGAAATTCCTTGGCAAAATAAGTATTGGCAAATGATACTAACATGGAAATATATGTGATATATTTTATTTTATAAAATCGTGTATTATTAAGGCAAAATATTTTAAAAAATATGGTAATATATGTATATTACATAAGTATATATTGTAATATAATGTACCTCCTACTAATTATACTATTGTATACATACTTAAATGTGCTTCATTTAATCATTTTTCTATGCATGTCCTAGGTTCATTCTTTTTTAAACAATGCCTTTACCTATCACTAATCTTGGAGTGTCAGAAGCCGCAGCTCCCGATTAAGTGTCATCTTGTTTTTCCTAAAAAAGGGTGCAGCATCTTCCTCTGTATTTCTAGTTCGTGTACACCCATAATATTACTAATACTTTTCCAAGAATCCTTTTTCTTATTTTCATTTTTATAATTTTTATTAGTCGAATCCCATAACACTTTGGGAATGATATAAATCAATTAACGTCTCCGTTAATTCGTTCGTCCACATAACCTTCATCTTCTTCTACGGCACTACAGCCCAAATTTATCCTTGGCCTCCTTTATTTTTTGCCTCCACCCTTGCTTGTCTGTGTCTACCATACACGGACGCCTAAAAGGGCTTGTGCGTCTCTGTTTTCTGTCTTCCCGGCACTTTCTTGGCTTTCCAATCGGTCCTTCCCTGAATTCTAGCACTCAGTGCTCTTTTTGGTAGCCTATCCTCTTCCATTCTTATCACGTCTGGCCCATTGCAATCTTTGTATTCTAATGAAGTCTGACAGTGGTGCTTCCTTGATAAAGTTGATAACGCTAGTTGTTGTATCGACTTCTGATGATTCCGTTTTCCCTCACAGGACTTAGTATTCTCCTCAGTACTTTACTTTCAAATGTGTCGAGTTTGCTTTTGGGTGTTCCTTTCAGAATCCACGCTTCACTGCCATAGCATGCTATTGGTCGAATTAAGGTTTTATAGATTCTTGTCCACACAACCGCAATGTTCTTTTTTAATGAAATTATTACTTAGTTTTAGAGTAGGCAATAGCCTTTCGAATTTTTATTGTTTTGTTATTTCTGTGCTCTTTTTCAGTCGGTGTAAAACTATTTCATTGCTTATTCGATCAACCCAATTTATCCGCCATATTCGTCAGTAGTTTCAGATATCAAAGGCCTCCAATTTGTTCATTGGTGTTTTCTGATCAGTTTTTCTATTTCAAGACATTTGCTGATGTACCAGTTTTCTTTTGCATGTCGGATTTTCCTTCTGATTTCTTTATTTTATTTTTTGTATTCTTCAGTGTATTTATTTTTCTGTTTTCTAAAAGGTTTTATTTGTTTATAAAAAAAGTAATTTCCAAATACTTTTCAATGGCTTCATATGTAATAAAAAATATGTCTTCGATTTTGTATTAATTACTATGACACCGGTAAGTTTTGATATGTTTACCAAATCGATTTTTAATAACCACCGGTTTATTTTTCCCGCTTCGGTTTCAGATTAAAAATATTAGGTTATGTGTTGTCAACTTTGTCAAAAAAGTTAATGCAATATTCTCTAGGTATTTCCAAACAAATAATAAGTCTATTGCTGAAATAGGTCACAACTTTGATTAAAGATATGCATAAACAAATATTGGGAAATTCTTAAACTTACTGATAATTTTTTTGTGGAGTTCAAAGTGCAGTGTAAGTGTTCTAACCTTCAAGCATATGATAGTAAAAATTCGGCTGTTCTAATAAGAGTTATTTGGTTTTAAGTTATATAATTTCGATGTATACCCCAACTACTTTAAGTAAAAACATCTTTTCAGGTGAGTTTGGCATTTATTGCGAGTTAAAACTATAAAATAATATTTGACAGTTACCATTCACTTTCAAGTGGTTATTTAGTTTGTCTTGTATTCAGTAATTAAAGCTATATAATGTAACATTAAGCAATTATCTTGTTATTGTTAGCAACGCGTTGTTAAGATAGGTACTTTTAACACGTAAAAAAAGTAAAACCGCGAAAAAAAATTTACCATTCAAATTTTTTTAACTTTAAAATGAACATAACCTTGGCATTTTCGGTAGTGAATACGAAACCATATTTAAATAAAGATAAATATTTAAATTTTAATTTTACTAGATATTTAAACGATGCCTTTTGAACAAATTTATTTTCAAATTATTGAACGAATATTTTATTAATAAGTGCTTTACTTTCATTTTATTCCACATTAAACTTTACGGAAATATTACGCCGGAGAGTTGGATGAATATACACTACCACTACCAGACATCAACTTGTCAGTATACCAACATTAAAAAATTATATCCACTAGAATTTTAAAAATTTTACATTTAATTATTTCAGGTTTAGCAAACAGTTTAAATGTTTTAACTAAAAACTTTTGCAATGATGTTCAACCACTAAAATTAGAAAAAGCGTTGATTGTTTCTAAATTATCTAGATATGAATTTGAAAGAACGAAACATAAAGGCCTTTCAGAGAAGGGATTGGAAAGTTTACTGAGGAAACGTGGATCCAACTATGAAAAACTTGTTTCTTTTCACCATCTTCATAAAGAATTTGAAGAAAATTTGAAGAATATTATTTTGGCTTCAGGAACAGAAGTAGAGATTGTAAATAGGTAAGTCAACAAATAATATTAAGAATCCTTAAAACATTATTGAATGTTAATATTATTGATCCTTCTATTTTCATATTAACTTTGATATTTAATGAAATCATAGATAAACAAATAATTTATTTTTATGTATATCATTTTTTAGATTAAGTTGCACAAATGAAAAGGTAGATAAAGCTGATATTATAATTCCCATTGGGGGAGACGGCACATTTTTAATGGCAGCAAGCAGAGTATTAGATAATAAAAAGCCTGTGATAGGTTTTAATTCAGATCCAAACAGATCTGAGGGGTATCTTTGTTTACCAAGGAAGTGTTCATTGAGCCCAGAAGAAACAATTAGGAAACTAAAAGAGGTATTTTTTAAAAACTTTTCTCATAGCCATACATACATTTTTACAATGTTATTTGATTTAATCTTTTTTAGGGTAAATTTCAATGGTTGATGCGCTCTAGAATAAGAATAACATTGGAAGTTGAAGAAAAATATTGTTTATTTCCCCAAAGTTTGCATCACGTTGACGGGCATTGTCTTCCTTCTTTGAAAAGCCATTCTGGTAAAAACGTTTTACCAGTTTTATCACTGAATGAGGTAAGATACCTTTTAAGTTAAGAATATTTTTATTTATAATCTTAGATCAGTCTAATTTTAATTTTATTTTATCTCGAATGTAAGTAAATTTGTGTTTAGACTAAATATACTAAATTCACTACTGTAGAATATACTAATATTTTATCACCTTTTTTTGTTTTTTATGTCTACATTTTCTGTTGGGTACACTCAGAGACAGGTGCATAAAAAGTTAAAGCTTTAATATGTTAACAAATTGTGATCTTAAACAACTTTTTTATTTATAACCCAATCTTGATAACATTTTGGACAAGCAGAAGGCAAAGCATCAAAGATTAATTCGCATCAGTCAGAGTTCTCCCTAGAGAACTAAAAAGATATAAAATAAAGAGAAGAGGAAAAATTGGATGAATGACAATATACTGCAACTCATGGAAGATAGAAGAAAATCAAAGAATAATAAAAGAATGTACAAAAATATTCAGAGACAAATTAGAACTTAAATACGAAAGGCCCAAGAAAATTGGTTAAAAACACAGTGTCAAGAGATCGAGTTGTTGGAACAAAAACATGATACATTTAAAATGCATAAAAAATTAAAACAAGCAGCTGGTCTTCAAAAATCCAACACAGCTAGCAAACTGCAACATGAAAAGGGGTACATCATCACAGATAAAAATCAAGAAATGTGCACATGGGAAAATACATATAAGAACTCTTTGATGATAATAGGTCCGAACAACCTCCATCTTACATATGTAATGGCCACGATAAGACATTTTTCGATGTTTAACAGTCTTTAGCAGTTCTCAGGACCTGTTGATAACGACGTTGTTATCAACAGGTCCTCGTAGACACTTCGTCTCAGGACCATTTTACTTATGTAGAGTCATACGCCGCCATGTTACCTATCCAACGGTAACTTAAACATCACAAATTATAACTATTAATAATGTAAAACAACTACAAATTTAAAACATTTAAAGGGTTTTGACCCATATATTTTGGTGGCTACTAGCATGTACAACCGTTTGCACTGATGATGGATTTATCAATCCGAAAACGTTTTGCAATGTGTTTGTGATAGCCCATTTGGGGCATTTTTTATATACCTTTTATAAAGGATTTTAAACAATTTTTTGTGATATATGGTATACAGCCAGCTACAAGAACTTAGTTTCCTAGTGGAATTTTCTGTAAGATGTCTTGGATCTGATCATACAACTCGACTGCATCATCATATTTTCTATCTGCAGTCGGGGCATAGATTTGAAGTATGTTAGTTTTAAATGGTTGTATATTTATTTGGAGTAATATTATTTTATTCGAGACTGGTACGAAATTGGTCACATATTTACTCAGTTCTGATGTTATTAATATACCTACACCATAGTCCTACATCAGTCCATATACCTTAATATAATATACGGATTCATATACATGTTTAGAAATTGCCATTTTAATCTTATAATATTTCTTAGGTATTCATGGGCGAGACACTATCGGCAAGAGTATCTCATCTGAAAATGCGACTGAACAATTCTGAACAAGTCACAAATTTAAAATGTTCTGGTATCTGTATATCTACCGGTACAGGTTCCACTTCCTGGCATTTAAGTATTAATAGAATATCTAGTCAGAGTATAGCTGAGGTACTTAGGCTCCTTTCCATCAATCCTAATTCAGGCAAAGAAAATTTAGCATCTACTCTGGCTGATTCATATAATAAAAACCTCATATTTAGACCAGGTAAGTAATTTTTATTATTTTTTTTTTATTAACACCTGCGCAGTGTTTGTATACTGCTATCTGGTCACAAATGACCAATTATCAGTTATTTTCTGACCTAACATAATAACAGCAAATACTTAAATCTAAGGGCTTACCCTATGGCTTACTCTTATTTTATCTATTAAATAATGCACTACAACTAGCATGCAATAACTTCACAGCACTATACTCTGCTTTTTACACTAAACTGTTACACATTTACACTAGCTCAAATGGTTTTGTCCTTATGAGTCTTCTCTTTAGTTCAGTGTTGTCAAGAAGCTGGATTGCCTCGACATTCACATGACTATGCAGCCTCTGCTCGTGACTTGCTGCTGTTCTCTTGATTGTTTCGATCACAGTTTCCATACCCAGGTCCTGGTGGAGGTTGCTGTTACGGATATACCAAGGAGCATCAACAATGTTTCTCAGTACTTTATTTTGAAATCTCTGGATAATAAGTAGATTACTAGCTTTGGTACAGCCCCAGAGTTGGCACCCATATACCCATACTGGCCTCAGTACTTGCTTGTAGATGGATAATTTATTATGAATTGACAATGTTGAATTTTTTCCAATCAGCCAATACAATTTCTTATATCTAATATCAAGCTCCCCTCTTTTCTTTTTGACATGGACTTTCCAGCGCAGCTTCGCGTCTAGGGTGATGCCCAAGTATTTTGCTGATGTTGTATAAGGAATTCGGGTATCATTTATTCTAACTGGGAAATTTTCTATTTTTTTATTTGTAAAGTTAATGTGTGCAGATTTAGTTTTATTCGCCATTTTCTGGTCCAGTTATGTATTTACTGATAGTTGCAATTTATCAGTCGCTTCTTCACTAGTGTCTCCTATCGCTAGTATGGCTGTATCATCCGCGAAGGTGGCAATAGTATTTTGTTCTAGCTCTGGAATGTCACACGTATACAATAGGTACAGGACCGGACCTAAGACACTTCCTTGTGGCACGCCAGCTTTGATCTCCCTTAAGTCGGTGTACACTTCTTCTTGTTTTACTCTGAAATATCTATTCGCAATGTATGATTCCAAGATTTCTGAATACTGTTTAGGCACGAACGTTCTTAGTTTATAGTTTAAACCGTCATGCCAGACTTTATCAAACGCCTGTGCTACATCCAAGAAGATTGTAGAGCAGACTTTATTTTCTTCTAATGTTTTTTCTATTATATTCGTTATTCTGTGAACTTGATCTATAGTGGAATGTTGATTTCTGAAACCAAATTGATGATTTGGTATAAGATTTTTTCTTTCTATTATTGATTTTAATCTTTTTAATAGAAGTTTTTCAAATAGTTTTGACATCACCGGAAGGAGGGAAATTGGTCGATAGGATGTCACTTCATTAGATTTACCTGGTTTGGCGATCATAATTACTTCGGCTACTTTCCAGAGTCTGGGAACATATCTCAATCTAAAAGCAGCATTTATTAGGTGTGTCAGCTTAACTATGGCTTTTCTTGGTAGATTTTTTAATAATTCTCCTGTTATGAGATCATATCCTGGAGCTTTCTTAGGATTTATATTCTCTTTTATCTCTGTTGATACTTCTCTAAGTGATGTCAATGTTATTCTTTCGTCAGTTTGGAATGGTTCTTCCCATCTCAGTTCTTCACTATCATTGTCGTTGGGTTTGAACGTGCTTTCTAAATGATCTGCAAATCGTTCTGCTTTCTGTTCGTTACTTCTAGCCCAGTTGCCGTTTTCCAACTTGATAGGAGGGGAATGAATAATTGGTCTCTTCAATCTTTTTGTTGCCTTCCATAAAGAATAATCTGTGTTCTGGTCAGCTGTTAAATTACTTAAAAAATAATTAATTGTTGAATTTTTTATATTCTGTATCTCCCTTTTTAGTTTTTGTGTAGCATTATTTAGACTAGTTTTGTCTCGTGGAACTCTGTATTGCTGCCATTTTTTTCTTAACTTCCTTTTTTCTACTATGAGTTCTCTGATTTCTTTTGGATAATTGTTCCCTTTTGTTCTAGAAGTTATTGTATTTTTATTATGCTGCTTAGAAAAACAATAAATTGCTGTAGTCCATAAAGTGGTGTTATATGAAAAACTTTATTTTGATCCATGTACTTCTTCTCCATTCTCCATCTCTCACCAAGGAGATTTTTTGCGTCCTCATCCAAATCATCCTCTTATCGCTTTCTTGGTCTTCCAATAGATCTCTTCCCCTGCATTCTTGCATTCAACAGTTTTTTGAAAGCCAGTTTTATTCCTTCCTACATACATGGTCTGCCCATTGAAGATGCTGTAGGTCTAGACGAACATAATGAGATAAAGGTGGTTCTTTATATAACTTCCCAATTGGAGTCATAATATTGGTCTATTTATATACAAAACTGTGTGATAAAAATCACACATTAATGAATTATAATTAGAAACTGTTTTAATTGTCTAAAATATTTCTCTATTATACAAGAGGCAGTGGGATAAAAATAAAACAGTTGATTTGGTCCTTAAAAAGCCCTTAAAAATACAATAGATGGCGCTTGTAATATAGAATATTCTTTGTTTTTCGTTAGTATATATTCGTTAGTCGTCATTTGTTTAAAACGTTAATTATAAAATGGAGTTGATTTGGAAGAGTTAATAAACATTTATATTTAAAAGACATAACGCCAAAGGAAGCCACAAATAGTGAACATCCAAATCGGATAAACTCCACAATATGGTCGTTATGTATTTACGTTTTTATGTACATTTTAGATAATTAATTAAATTTTTAATGATTTAACAATGTTTTAGATGATACTAGGATGGGGTACACCATCCGTGACTTAATTTCATCAGGTGTATGGCCGAATCCAAAAGGAATAAACCAACGAGGATTTGCCTCTAAAATAGAAGTAAGGTCACATTGTTATGATGCTTCTTTGGTGGTAGATGGAGGATTTTCCTTCCCATTTAATGACGGCGCACTAGCGGTGTTAGAAATTCTTCCAGAAGATGCCTTACGGACTGTACTATTTACCGACTGAAAACGATTTAGTGATAGTTATCGGGAAAGAGCACGTATAAGAGGTATAATAATGACAAAGAGAGAGAGAGAAAAAGAGAGAGCTTTGTATTTTCTCGAATGAGATTTTATTTATGAACTCGCCTTTGGTTAGCTCCATTCGGTGTGCTAGATGTTGCATCACATGAGTGCTTTCGAAAGTTGCAACCTAAAATGAAAGCTTACATCGACATGAAATATGTCATACCTTGAAAGTTATTCTAGAGAAAAATACTGTTCTTTATAAAGTTAAATATTAAGGAGGATAAAGGGCATTAAGTGAATTTTTTTGTTAAAGAAAGAATGCCATTCCTCAGTTTCAAGAGCTTTGATAGGGTTTTTCAGATCCTAATTTTCGTTTGAACTGGTTAAATACATTTATGAGTGCCTGTTTGTCCAAATATTCATAGTAACTTAAATTCAATGGATATGATTTTTTGTAGTTTGTAATATTTCTTAGATAATTGTCAGCAGGTCTGTGGTCCAAACTGAGGATTTATAATTACTGCATTTTCAGGAGTGATTATTAATAATAATAGTGTGGACCAGCCAATCTTTTTATTTATTTAAGACAAAGAATAATGTTTTGTTTAACTTTTTTCGCTTTATATGGTTTTTTAATGATTTCGTCTTTTATATTTTTTTATTGTGTATATTTACACTATTATTTGTTTACGTATTAGTGTCACTTAGTATTTATCTTGAAATACTCTTAATTGTATTCCTATCAACAAATTGCCAAAACAACTAAATAGTTATCATATACCTCTGAACAAATAAATATATAATAATAATAACCTTAACCTTACATTTTCTTAATTTCATAATTGCCTACATTCTCTATTATTTCGACTATATGGCAACTATGTACGAAATTGACAACGGCAAAATTGAATAACGTACAACGGATTTTCAGTTTTCCTAACATTCATTGATTTAGATTGTTTTTGAATCAAAGCTTCAACAAAGCATGTTAACATGAAATCACATTAATATGGCCTATTATGATATAAATGAATGTGACTGAAATTATATGGCTGCTATTTATATAAGGTTAAGTATGATATTAAGTGCAATTACAATATAGTTAGGTATACATATTGAACCAAAAATTATCGCAAATGTTACTAAAAATGAAGACTTTAAAAAGACTGACCAGTATAGAATTTTTCGGTTTTAACTGTTATGAGAAATAATTTATTATTTAGACGACAGGAGTTATATTTAAATCATGGGAAAATTTAGAGTTACAGCTAATAAATACCGAGATTTTTACATTCTAGGGGTCCAATTTTTTGCTTCCCTGCTAAATATGGTAGCATGGCTTGGATATCATTATTTTTTCTGTAGACAATGGCACAGGAGTTTCCTTCATCTTGATTTCCAACTCCACAAAACTCAGTTTCATTCCAGAAGAGTATGATGCCCCTTCCTTCGTCTTCTAAATGAATGCCCATATTAATACAGGTAAGCTGACGGATGTAGTACATTCGGGTATGAGTTAATGTTGGAAGATACATCTGTTGCTGGAGATCAAATTGAAACATTCGAATATCTGAGTTGTTTCCTCTGGATTATATGCAATCTTAACTCATTTGTTGTCTTGCCACGTCAGCTTGCCTGTAGTCAATTTCTAGTTTTTGCTTAGCATCACTTTTATTTCTTCTGTTAGAGTTGTGTCTATTTTGACTTTAAGGGAGTAACATGTTGGGCGTGTGTCAACTCATGGGAGCTTAAATACCGCTGTCGCCGGCTTTAGGTTGCATCATCGTAACTACCATGTCACCTTTTTACTCAACAGACTAGAATGAGGTTTTTTTCGATATTTTTGTTATTCTTTATAATAACTCATATCTCAAAAGTCACGACAATCTAATGTTATACACATACATGAGACTGCCATTTGCAGGATAACTTAAACGAAAATAACTCAAAAATGGGTACCCTAATGACCAACTAAATTGTATTTGCTTAAAGTATTAATAAATAAAAACCACTTTAAGCAAAAAATATATTAAAAAATAGAAGATAAGCTACTTCCTCCGTTGATTCACTTTTTTTCAATTGCTCCTTTATTTTTGGTATTTACACTTCATCTAATTTATATAACGATGCACGTCATCGGCGTCATAGCCTGTGACGTCACATGATACCAACACAAAATATTTAGAGTGTAGGTGTGTTGTTTTTTAGAATCACTTTACCGAGTACACTGGTATTACAGCCACTAGACATATTTTATAATATACGCGTAGAAATAATCTTTAAAAATTTCTATTAATGTTAACTTAAAGAAATACACAATAATATGTTTCATTTCATTTGTATAAATGCATTATAAAGCGTTTTTATCAAGAACATTTGTTCGGAACATACTGTAACTGTAATCGAACGAAGGTAAAATTTTGGCATAAATTGGTAACACTTATTTGACAGTTGCGGTGTTGACACTTTTTGTACTTCATTATTTTGAATTTTAAAGTGAATATCTCTTGTTTTATATTTTTAACTATTTAATAAAATCTGTTCTTTTTAGAACAAAATTAGTGTGTTTTATTTCAAAAATATCACGTAAGAATTTAAATAGTCGTTGTAAAGAGATGGTAATACTTTTGCAATAATTATGTAATCTATTTGATTTAAAATGGAGTCAGGATTTTTTTATACTTTGACAACTATGTCAACTTCGATCTCTGACGTAGATAATGACGTAAGTCGTTATCTAAATTAGATGAAGTATATATACTTAAGTCCTCTGTTTTACTGCCTTTTTGAATATTTTTTTCCATTTCAATATATTTAAAACACCTTTTTTGACTACAGTCACACACTCAAGTAATTCGTCTGCCATTTTGCGTAGACTGATTGTAGCAAATGTGGTTGCAACTGATAAGGCACTTACAACGTTAGGACTTTCTCTTTCTCAGTATTCAAGGTGAGGGCATCTCAGAGCTTTAGCTTCAAGAGTTCAAGTAAAGGTCGGCACATACAACGGTTTAATCATATAAAACGTATTTCAGCTCGAGTAGTACTTACAACGTTATGGTTTGGCACCCTTCATTTGACTTAAGCCATACCTAAACCATTCTCTAAAGATTTTCAACGAAGGATTCTTCTCCTTATTTCCCGTTATTTAATCCGCATCATTACTTTCCTTTCCCTGGCTAAATATTCTGCGATTCATTTTAATCGTGCGTTGAGTTCAGTTTTTCGTACTTTGGAGAATTTCTTTATTTATTGTCTCAATGAATTGAATTTTTATTACAGTTTGACACATCCATATTTTGAAAAGATTTTTAAATTAGTGAACACCACAATTTATGCCTTCAAAAAGGTTTGTTTCCTTTAATATCAATACATTTAATCCAGCTGTTATCTTCTGTCTGTTACGTCCCTCTAAAATTGCTGTAAAGTACTAATTTTTGTCGTAATGTGTATCAAATTGTGTAAAAATGAGTCCGCTCAATGAATTCTTGTACAAATCGCAGTCCACCAAGATTTTGGCATGTTTTCGATATCCTGATTTCAACTTCCCTGTCTTTGGAAGTGTCTAAGCTTGCCATGTACAATTTTTAAAGTCTGTAATCTTAAAACATATTGTCGGTCAGTATATTCTAAGATTACGTACAATTATTTTTGAAAATTCTCTACCGTTTTCTGGTCGCTGGTGCACCAAACAATGTAAAAATATCCAGTAAATTGTAAGGTACTTTCTCTACATGTCCTGTTTTTAGTGCTTTTAATATCACAAATTTTGTGAGATGATCTTGATAACCATTACAAACTTATATTCTCGGTTTGCATGAAACTAATAATCCTTTCTTTTCTTTTTTTATTTTTGTTTTTGTTGGTACAGTTCGCAAAGTTGCAGATGTAGGTCAACATCGTGGCGAATTGTATTCTTATTACGTGTACAAAACTGCTGCTTTTCTTTGAAACTCCGAATAAGATCTTTCTCTCATCCGAGATACTGGTTGATTGGCCGTAATAAATATGAACAAGATTCTTAACGACTTTAAACAAGACTGAAAATTATGGACTGAGCTCATAAAATGAAGAAAGTGTCCTCCCACCTGCGTTGAACACAAACTACTGAAATGTAAGCAAGTAATGAAGTAAATAAGTCACACCGCCTTTAACTTTCCCCCCGTATCACACTCTTACCTACTCTCGTCTTTTACGTACATTACCGGTTGCGAATTCAGGATTGCATAGAATACCTAAGCAAAGTATAAAACAAATCATATTTCATACATTATCTTAACAGTTTATGCATTATACACATTACCTATACAAAACCGAATATTGTAAAACATGTGAAGTAGTTTAAGTGTACTTTATTATCCTATTTAAATTTAGTAACATTAAGATAATCAAATGCACTTTTGAATTAGAAAAAGTACTTTTTACAAAAATTGATGAATTTAAATTAATGCTATTTATTGTTATCCATGAAAACACAAACGTTTGATTTTAGAAAATGTTCCCCATTGTAGATTAATTTTTAAAATGTTTATAAGCAATGCTTTTTCCTTGTTAAAATTTTTATTGTTTTAAGACATAAACTGATACTAGTATTAAGTAAAAAATATATTAAAATGTCTATTTTATAATAAATATATGATGATTTTTTAATTTTCTGTCTTTTATTTGATTCTTTCTTTACAATTTTTAATAAAAAAAAATGAAAATTTTTAACAAAAAAAATTGTTTACTTACATTGCGTTTTATTCACCAAATCCTATCATAGACGTCCTATCTCAGGCGTCCCTGAAGGTTAAGTCATTTGAACCTTCGAAATTTTCGCCCTTCTGTAGTACCGACATGTTTGATATTTTTATTAGCTATCTAATTAGGTACATCAAATTGAAAGTAAGTACTATAATGTCTATAACAAAGAAGAGTAAAATATCAAAAGAAGAGAGGCAACAACAGTGTTAAACATCAAAAGAGGCGAGCAATTAAAAAAATACAGAAAATTATGACAGGTGGAAAGAATATTTCCAGGAGCTACTAAATTTTGAGAATGCAAAAATGGTGAAAAATCAATTGTAGTCATATCAGCTGAGAGAGAAATTCATGGATGTTCTGAAGATGAAATTATAAGTACAATAAGTTCTTTAAAAAATAATAAGGTACCTGGTACTAATACAATAACTGCTAAATTGTTAAAGAAAATGGAGGACCAGCACTTTGAAAACAAAAACATTGTTCAATCACCCAAATATAGAATGATGAAACAATCCCTGAAGGATGGAAATGGGGCCCTACACACCCCATTCACAAGAAAGGGAATAAGCAAGAATGCTCCAACTGTAGAATAATTATTATGGTATTAAACATATACAAAGTATTTTCTTCTCTCTTGTGTAACAAAGTGACGCTCTTTGCGGAAGAGATTATTAGTAACTACCACTATGGATTTCACAGTCTATGTATTGATTTCTACCAAGCCTTTGACACTACAAATAGAAAAGTATATGAAAACCTGGTACTTATGGGTATACCCAAAAAACGAGTCTGATTGGTACAGCTTACTCTTACTATAAGAGCAAATACAAAAAATAGCGAATGGATGCCGGCCGAAAATAGACCACGAGGCCGCCCTAGAAAGCGTTGGTAAAAATTGTCGAGAATAATTGAAGGATTATGGGACATCGAAATTGGAGAAGAGTTGTAGGCTTATATTACCAACGAGTTAGATAGTAACTGTTTATCTGATTTACCTACAGTATTATTTAATGTATATGCCGAACATACAATTAGAGCTTCTCTTGAAGCTCTAATTATATCGCCCTGAAGGTGCCAGAGTCAATGGAATCATCATTAACCATATAGGATATGTTCCTTTAGTGCTTATACCTTCCGTATTAAGAAAATAAAAGATAACCTGTGTAGTTTGCAGAGATCTTGTACCGGGTAGGTCAATGGAGAATAGAGGGTGTGATTTTAGGTGGAAGGCAGATCACGCTTCTCCATCTGAATCCAACACACACCGAGTCATCCCTTGAAGGCATCCGGAGATCTTGCTCAAAATCTTTTGCAAGATTTTCACACGCTATAAAAAATATTACTGCCTTACCCCTTCTTTATCGAGCTGGAGGTGGCAATTTTATAATTGTTGGTTTCGTCTGTATTAGATAATTGTTTCTGCAAATTATGCAAAATATGTTTCTCATCTGGAGTAGTAAAACCAGGAAAGCCAATAGTCTGTTTATAGTAAATGATTCAACACATCAACTTTAAAACAATTTATTTACAAACAATTATGGTTCTCTTATCGCTATAATGCCAACTTTCCTAAACTTGTAGTAATTGCTATACTTGGTAAAGTTTCAGTTATTATCCCTGTTGCAACTGTAATGTTATTTTCTCTTATTGTAAACTGCTGTCCAGGTAACATTACCATTTTCCATAACAAGGTGAGATCTACAGAACCATGTTCTCCAGGTAATATCATTTTAACTTCTTCACCTAAAAGAAAACATAAGTGAAACTGAAACTTCTCTACCTGATAGTGATGATCATCAAAAGCAATATGAGAACAGATAAAGCGATCTTCTCTGACTGCTCTGGTCATTGCCACATTGTCTTTAATAATGTATGTTATACTTGCAGATGAAACATTAAGAAGCAATAAGTCTAGACCATGTTACATAAACTCGAAATACAATATATAATTAAATTGTAACTTATTAGTAGAAACATTTTACAAAATTAAAAGTACATAAATGAACTTTTCCTAATATTTGGTTAGACTATCTAATTACTACCTATTAATGTTTCTGTTTTTGATAACGTAGAAATACTTACTTAAATCTATGCGACATGCTACATTCCAGGTTCTACTAAATAACTGTTGGCAGTATTTGCCAGTTATAGGTTTCGTTCTTCCACCTTCTCTACTTGACAGAAAATATATACTAGCCTTAAACCTGTTACTGATTTTAACACTATTAGGAGCACAAAGGAGCATACCTTTACTTATGTCTTTTAATTTTATACCTCTTAACAATGTCCCTACATTATCTCCAGCTTTTGCCTACAAAAGAAAACAGTATCTGTTGATACAAATGTTTAAATAATAACAAATATTAATATATACTAGAGAGTTTTCTAAACAGTTAAAAAATAGGGTACCTATATGACACATGATGAAATTTTTAAGGTAAACAAAAAGGGAGAAAGAGGACATATTGTAACCAAGATTTATGCTTTTACCAATTATTATATATAGATTATAGGATTTATGAAACAAAACATTGCAAATATTTATCAGAAGCTTTTTACCAATGTGTATAAAACCTTTAAGCAGATTTTGTTCAGTGAATATAATTTCAATATCAATATAAATATCTAATATCATTCTTCCTCCATTTGACATTTATTATTATTCAAACAAATATATTTTTGTCATATTGTTCCATTCTCTATTTCTCTTTATGATCCAGGGGTTTACTTAATCTTTTGCATGTTAGTATTGATGTTTTTGATCTTTTCTTCACAGCATAACTGTCAATAAAGGAAAGGATCATGAAATGAATACTAAGGATAGGCCATACTCATTTAACTCATGGTTATTGCGACAAAAAATGTGGCATTGGGACTTGTAGAACGCCAATATAATAAAAATGTGTATGTATAATGCAACACAAGTATTTGGAGTAATGTAACAGAAAACCAAATAAATTAACGCTGTCTAGCAGAAGGTGCCGGAGAATGACTACTTGACACACTCAAAAGAAGATCAGCCAATTTGCATGCCCTACAGAAACCATAAAATGAGAAAATTAATGACAAGATACTAAAAAAAAATAGAAATAATGTAAATGAAAGTGATAAATTACGGAAGTTGCTCTAAAATATGATTGGGTGCCAGGAATAAAATATAAGAAAAATTTTAATGATTCGGCCTAAAAAGGTAATTTACTGGCCTACTAGAGATGTAAATCTGCACTTCGGTTTTCAATTAAATGTTCTAATCAAGTCATGAGGACACTATCCTGACGGGATAGATGTCCAAAGGTTTAAATATATAATAATAAAATATCAATAAATAACTCTATGATTAAATGTGAACACATAAAACTGTACAACAGAGTTGAAAGGGAGTATTTAAAAACTTCAACCTGTAGTTGACAATTAGTCCGTAAATGGTATTTAGTAAAATATTTTAAAAACTGACGGTTTTTATTATTAAATGAAATAGTAAAATTTAAAGTAAAAAAAATATATAATTTTTTTTTTAATTGATAAATAAGACTTAATGCAAATGAACCAGGCTCCACACTCTAAATGAGGGAGGTCTTTTCGGCTGGTTCCCTGAAGTTGTCCGGGAATAGTCTCAGAGTGGTCTGGACCTCTGAAGGAACAGCTATGGGTGACGGGCAAGGTGTAAATCCAAAATTTAATTATTTTTCTTTAACCAAAATCCCCAAAAAACAACAAAATACAGAATTCTTCCCCTTGACTTCTGTTCAACTCCTATAGTAGGCAGCTCAGAGTGGCTACAAACCAAACAGGACACTCAAAAAAAACCAAACCAAACTTTTTGCATCTTGTTAAACCAAAGGTTCTTTACTCGTCAGAAGTTAGAACAGAAATCCGGGATGGCCACTCGTTTTGATTCAGCAAAGGATGTTTGTCAAAATCTCCGCTTGGTGTCGCTGTTACCAACTTATTACATATTTATAAATTCAGATTATCAGGGATCAATTGTGTATAATTAGGAAATTTTTTTAGAATATAAGTAACCAGGTTAACTGTACATACAATGGTGGTGGGCAGCATATAATAAATTATACTGTATACATTTGACTATGTATTAAATTGGTGGTGAAAACTAATTTTCTGTTAATTATTCTTGATTGTAAAATGTTAAAATTATTGTACCTGTTTAATGAGCAGTGTTACTGTACATGTTGAGACAGGTTAATCTAAATAAAAAAAATCTGCCCATATTTTCTTTATATAGGATATTCCTGTATTACTACAGTTGTGTTGTGCATTGTGGAAAAAGGAATAGTTATACCCTTTCATAAATGCTTTGACTCCCAAATACTTCAACCCTAAATAACTAACTTTGTTCTATTATTTTGCTCTAACAATATAAACCTCTAAAAGCTAAAGTTGTGGTTTAAGATATATACTTGTAGCTATCAATTCCCTGGTAATTAGCCACCAACAGGCTGAATTCTGATCTTTAGGGATATGGACACTCTAAACATTTACAAAGTATGAAATAGACAAATTCGTGTTTAGTTACCTCTGCAACACTTTTCTTAAATACTTGTATATCTGTAAGAATAGTTTTAAACTGATTGTCAAAGCCAAGCAATTCTGCTTCTTGCAATCTTTTCATAACACCTCGAAATATTGTTCCAACTACAACAGTTCCTCTACCAGGAACTGTAAATGCATTGTCTATGGGTAGCATAAAAGGGGATGTAACATCTCTTTGAGGATCTGGTATATAACTATCTAAACAAGCAATAAGTTCTTTAATTGCAGGTATACCAAATTTTGTTTCTTTATCATTCATAGCATCTAATGCAGATCCAAATATAAATGGTGTACTGGATCCATCAAAACCAAAATCCTCAAGTAGCTCTCGAATTTCCAGTTCCACTAAGTCCAGTATCTAAAACGCACCAAAGATAACTTGCAAATATTACCTGATTCTGAATATACACAAACCTCTTGATCAACTAAGTCAGCTTTATTTACAAACACAATAACCTTTGTTACTCCAACTTGTTTAGCCAATAATAAGTGTTCCCTAGTTTGTGGCATTTGTCCATCAGTTGCTGCTACTACTAATATAGCACCATCCATCTGCGACACACCAGAAATCATATTTTTTATAAAATCCGCATGTCCCGGGCAATCTGTATGGGCATAACTTCTCTTTTTTGTACTGTAACCAATGTGAGCTGCATTAATTGTAATACCTTAAATGAAGATACAATTAATTTCCTGAACTAGAACCAGATATGAAACGATTTCAAACTAATACTGGAATATTTTAAGTTCTTACAGGTTGTATTTTACAAATCACTTTTACCTCTTGCTTTCTCTTCTGGAGCTCTATCAATCTCATCATAAGAAACATATTTTGCTAGACCATCTTTCTGTAGCACCTTAGTTATGGCAGCTGTTAGTGTAGTTTTTCCGTGGTCAACATGACCGATTGTCCCTACATTTATGTTCTTTTTAACATCTGTGCAGTAATTTAAAAACAATTTCGGCAAAGAACTGCCTTTATTTGGCCTAAACTGAGAAAAATGTTTAACACAATCCAATACAGATATTTTTAAAGGATATTTACTTTTAACTATTTCTTTAGTAAACGTCCGACAAATCGAGTATGTAAACATTTTTTACTTAATTTTAAAAATATCAAACCTAATTTATTTTAAAAATTAACCTCACATTTCTAGTTATTTTTATTTCTCTGTATTTCTCTCTGTTTTTTTATTATTAGTGTTCTAAGATAATTGTCAAGTCAATAGTTGTCAGAATTTTTTCAAGCTAGACACTATTTTTATTCATAAGAAACAATAATTAATTGTTACGGCAGATATATAAATCAATACAATAGTTCTAAATCCATAAAGCTGAATATCTCTATTTTTTAACTTTTGTCATAAATAGAGAAATAGGCACAGATAAATTAAACCTAGGTCAAAAAAATAGCCAATGCTAAAGCACGTTTTTATTTGTGCACCCTTCCGTTTGGTGGCATTGCTCGTATTGTTCGTTGTCACCACAGACACCGACCACAGATATGAATGACTGATAAGTGACAACTCAGAAACTCCAATCAGTGACACTGACAGTTGCTCTGACAGCTTCAAGGGTAAAAAAGCAAATGTATTTTAAATTGTAAAGCTAAGAAATCTAAAGTTTTAATATACTGTAATTATGGTTGTGAATATCTATAAATATTTAAATCCTGTAGCTACTTTATTAAAAGTAAAATTAGATAATACTAAATCTGATAAGGTACCTAAATTATTAAAACCATAATCTACAAGTACTCACTATTGATTTTATTTTTAGGCACCCAATTCTACAATAATAAACACAGTTTTTACTTTATTAAACAAATCTAATTCAGCTTTAGGGCCCAGTAACGATTTGGAAAGAGTGGAAATCCAGCAGTGGATAGAATATGTTCTAGTTTATGCCAGCCATGTGGATAATGTTCAGAATTCAAAAATAGTCTTAAAAGTGAGTGCAGATTATCTGTATGAAGTATCGGACTGAGTAATGCATCTTGGCTATTTCTACCACTTATTTCCATAATGATCTGCATTGTTTTTGTCAGTTTTTGGACTATTATTTAAATATTTGTTTGTCCCTGTTATAATGGAGTACTAATTTTTTATCTTAATTATCAAGTTCCTAAGTTTTTTTTTAATCATTATAGTAGCCACCATGTAGAAAATATGGAAAGAGGAATAGGGGAACAGAAATTCTTTAAAACCCCTATTACTCGTTTGCAGCACATATATAATAGCCAATAGTTGTTTTTTATGTACCTAATGAAACACTAATAAAAATATTTTATTTAGGAACTTAATGATGTATTGGCATTAAAGACATACTTGGTTTCACACAGACTGACCATAGCTGATGTTTTGTTATTTTATGTACTGGTTCAATTAATGGTAAGTTCATTGATTGTATGATTATACATTTTCCTAAAAGTTTTGAAAGTCAGTCACATTGCAAACCACTTTACTATAAATGCTTCAGTACGATTTTGGCTGTTCATGATGTATATATTTATTTATTGATTTTAGGATTCTTTGTCTACTCTTGAAAAGGAGAAATATTTACATGTGTGCCGATGGTTCGATAATCTACAACAGGATGAATCTCTGAGACAAAAAAACAAAGTTGTTGATTTCAGTTCAAACTTTTTAGCTACATTAGTTCCAGCAAGACATTAGTGGAGATATGTTCTTATTTCTATTCTTATTTATTGTAAATGATATAGAAATTGATATTTTATTGATATCTTTTTTGACATTCTGTGTTCCTCTATGATTAAGAAATCAGATTAAACTTTTTTTCTCATTAAGTATACAGTAAACAAAAAATCTTTAATAATAAAAAAAAACAGATATTAATATTTTACTTATTTATATCCTTCCTGTTCCTCTAAGTTTCTTTACATTTTCTTCTCATTCAATCCACATTAGACAAAAAAGGTGTTGCACTCATGGGGAAGTGCTGAGAGAAGTAAAAACTTAAATTGCATTGAAATTATAAGTATGGTGACAATGAAATTAACCCTTTAGATACTGTTACTGTGCAAGTAAGCTTTCATTTGCAGCTTTGATGAGTGAGCGCCATACCATTACACAAATTAATCTTCATCTTTCAGGTTTTCCTGTACATTTGTAGCACCGTATTTTTTATGAATAACGTTTTCTGAAGTTGGTTTTGTAATAATGAAAAGAGAAGCAATGCATTGTAAATAACTAAACGGAAAATTATTTACCCACTGCTATAGAAAGAATATAAATTGAGCGACCAGTCTGGATCGGGAAGTGCAAAATTTTCCTGCCACAGTATACAGGCCATACCTAGGTACCTCGCACATCAATATTGATATGATCTTAGTGTTCAGCGATCCCAAAAACCACCGAGTAACGAGTTTGTACTGATTTTGTATTGAATTTCCACAAAACTCCAGGAGACGGGGTTCAGGTGCCTCGCAGAACATTACTGTCATAATATTCACGTTGCAATGCAATTTTTATTTCCATATCAACATTTTTGTTCACAAAATTCCTGACACTCATACTTAAATACAAAAAGTTTAATTGAGATCCATCCTACTGCAAAAAATTAGTAGGTCTATTGCTTCATTGCTTCGCCTATGGGGGCGCATCTAGAGGCCTCACTGCCTACATTTTCAAATCGTTAACCTTCCTGTTTCATGGTTTCTTTGGTTTGAAACGTTAACGAGAAAAGATTCTCTGTATGCCTTTTTTATAATCATCCTTCACTATACATGGTCCGGAGGAAAGAATTTGCGATAATGGACCTCTGAATTTTGAGATAAATTTAAAGAGCATTTCATTTACATATTTTTGTAGTTATAATCAAAAACAAAATATATCGAAATAGTTTCAGCAGTGTTAAACCCTACCCAGGCGCTGATATTCAATCCGACCACAATCCTTTAGTAGGAGTGTATAAAACCAAGTTAAAGAAAACATGCGGAAAAACTGTGAAAAAACATGACATGAGAAAATTGAAATGTAGTAAAAGAAATAGTCAGCAAAACAATAAATAGAAAATTCAAAGAAATCGATAATACAACGGAAAGCACAGCAGATATATGAAGAACGAAGAAGGTATAAATAAGACATGAATAACGACAGAGATTCTGTAGCTGATGGAAGAACGAAGGAAAACAAGAACGTATATGTATAAAATATTACGAGATATTCAGAGAAGCCAAACAGAAAGAACTGGAGAAAAAGTGCCAAGAATCGAAAGTAAATACGACGACTTCAACATGCATAAAAAGGTAAGAGAAATTACGGGCAAATGTAAAAACAGAAGAGTAAGTAAACTTGTAAATGACAACGGAGAAACATCATGGACAAAGAAAGTACAGTAAAACCTCGATATAACGGACTACTTGGGGGGACGGGGTGTCCGTTAACGCCGAAAGTCCGTTATATAAAAATATGTCTAAAATAAATCAAAATATATATATTTTTAAATATGTATGTATACTTAATTTGTCTTCGGACATTCGTTGTGAAGTGACTTTGCTGTGGATATCGACGCGTTTACTGTCGATAATCCTGTTTTGAACAAGTTTCGTTTGCACTTTCGATGTTTTCTGTTTTTATGATCAACTCTCTAAAATTACGAAAATGTGTAGAATACAGTTAAACTATTTGATAAATAATCAGTAAATGTTATTAGATCGTCGAGATTCAATCTTACCTCTGATAACTTCATTTTTAACACGTTTACACAACGATAACGTTTTGTCGTCTTGTTCGCTATCTTCAGTTCCATCCTCATTTTTTAGGTTTATAAATAACTTCATGTGCTATTTCACTTTCAGTCGTGATGTTATATCCAGGGTCATCCTCATCTACTTCTAGTCATTGTAAAACGTCTTCCTTAGCTATATGTTCTCTAGCATTATTATGTATACTCTTACAGAAATCAGTAACTTTCAACCCTTCTAAATCTATGTCTGCATCTTAGCCATCAAACAAATTCTTCCAACCATTTTTAATGTTTGCTCTTTCACCTCCTCCCATGCTGCAGCAAAATTAAAAACGGTTGATTTTAAATTGTAAGACCTCAAGTTTTGCAAGGTACGCCGCCCTCTTGTATACTCTGCATTATCTCCATCGTACAATACAACCATTACTTCGTCTAAAAACGTTCTGCGATATATTAGTTTGGGTGCCAAAATTATTCCTGATCCATGGGTCGAATAAGCGAGGTTGTATTTTTTGACAAAACATACACCCAAAGTTGCCATCTTCTGAACGTAGAATTCAGAGGGGTGAGCAGGAGCGTTGTCTAAAAGCAATAAACATTTCACCTCATTCCCTATTGAAATTTTCTTAGAGTTATATTATGAAACAGGCATATGATGCATTATATCTTTTAAAACTCTAGCTTTACGAGATTTGCCTACCATTACAGGAGACAATCTATGTGATTCATCAGCGTTAGCACAAAGCAGTGCCAAAATCCTGTCTTTGCTGATTTTTCTTCCAGAATTCGATTTTTTATATTTGGAGGATTGTGCGCTTTCAAGCAAAATACGCCATAACAAACCAGTTTCATCAAAATTGTAAATCTGAGATTCTAATTTTATTTCGCTACTTATTTGGGCTACTAATTTTTGCATCAAAGGTTCTTTTTCTTTTTTTTTTTGAAGCAATTAAAGCTTCGCCGTAAATTCTTTTATTCAAGATTCCGTGCCTTTTGCGAAAGCGCTAGAGCCATCCAAAACTTGCTCTGAATGGTATTTCAGTTCGCAGATTTCAATTCGACTGATCGGACCGGGATCCCACTGAAACGTTGGCAATACAATTCTAAGATTACTTCTTCCATTGCTCCTGAAGTTTCACGAGTCAATTTTATTCGTTTTCTGAGATTGCTGTGCTCTTTTACATCACACAATAATGCACATTTCTTTATTTTGCTTTTATTTTTTTTTATGTCCAAAAGTTTGGTTTTTTATGCCGTATTGATCACATATATAAGACACAGAGGCTCCAGACTCCAACTTTAGTACATTCTCTAGTTTTTGATTGATCCTTAGATTGATTATTTTCCGTTTGTCCATATTTAAAGGGTAAGATTGCGAAAATTGTGGAGTATAATAAATGTGTTCATTCACAATGAATAAACAAGCATTTATTTTTCAGAAAAAAAATATATACATATTAATATTAGAAATGAATCTTCTTACGCTAAATTTTATTAAAATTCTTTGTAAAATACGTTTTACAAAGAAGTATATTTTTATTTTTTTTACATTTGACCGGATTTTTTGTCCGTTTTATACGAAATTTATTTTTTGATAGAGGAAGAACCAGTCCCAAATACCTGCGGAAACAGAACCACCTATACTAGTGGCAGAAATAAGAGCAGCCATAATACCACTAAAAGTAGGGAGAGGTCCAGAACCAGACGGAGTAGAATCTGAATTTCTTAAACTTCTTGATGATGAAACTTTAAGAATACTATGTAAAATCTTCAATAACATCTATGACACAGGCAATAGTCCAAAAGATTGGCTAGTTTCAGAATTTATTACGTTACCAAAAAAACAGGGAGCGACAAATTGCGGAGAATATAGGCTAAGGCCGGTCGTCCTTTGGATGCGTTTTCGTCCGAAATATTTTCGTCAGAAATCGGAGGAATAATTTCGTCAGATTTCGCATATGTGGTATCGTCCACTATAGACAAGTTTTCGCATTGTACGAAGTCAGTCATAATATGTAGTAATTTATCAAATAAGCATACTATAATAATTATTAATACTTAATATGGATCATATTCTTTTGGAAAATAGTTACCTTGTTAGACGGCGATTAAAATTAAAAAGAAAAAAATGTTGGGTTAATGACATATTAGCAAAACGAAAAGAATTCGGAGAATTTCATCATTTATATGATGATTTGAAAAAGGACGAGAAAAAGTTTTTTGATTACTATCGCATGAATCAGGATACATTTAACTATATTTTAGATGCCATAAGAGAACCAATTAAAAAAATGTCGAATTTAAGTGAGACCATTTCACCAGAAGAACGATTGAGTGTGACTCTAAGGTAAGTTATAATAAATACAGTAGTTGCAACATTTCCAATTTTATTATTAAAAAATACAAAGAAAAGAAATACATTGTTTTATGCGCTGAAGTGAGTAATATAGTTCTGAATGGATAACGGCTGTTGAGAGGAAACATCTTCTCTTCTTTCACTTGAATATTGTGAGACCACGGAAGATTCTGTATTTTGCAAAGATGAAGAATGATGTGGTGTTGATATTAAGTCATTACAATAGAATGACGCTCTGGAGGAATCGGTGTCTGTGTAAGACATTGGAGAAGGCAACGGTGTTGATGTAATTGTTTCATTGGAACGATATGATGCTCCGGGCGCGTGTCTTGTAGATAATTGCTCCTCATCAAGAAATACTTGCTGCAACTTACTTCTTATTAGCATATGTCGATTTTGAGGTACAGCCTTTAAAAAGGGCAGGAGACTGAGTAGGAATTGGCGTTCACTGTCACTATCTTCTCTATTTTTATGTTGGCACAATATTTCCAATTTGGCTCTTTCTATTTCGAGGAACTTGTCGTCCATTGAATTTGCCTCGGAATTCCTAGCATATTTTAGACGACTGTTTGTGTTTTTCTTAGTTTGCATAGTTGTACTACTAGGTGTACTGAATGTACTTTTAACCTCATTACCAGATGTGGATGGCTGCTGTATATCTGTATTTACAATTTGCTGTGATGACTCTTGAATGGTTGATTGAGAGTATGCATTGTCTGCATCAGGCTCCAATGTCGATTCTGTTTCGGAATAAGAGTTGTTATTGTCTTCCTTTTGCGGAGATATATTT